CACACACACACACACACACACACACACACACACACACACCTTGGGGCATCATAATATGGGTTTCTATGCAGTTTTGCATATGTGCAAATGCGAAAACGCATATTTTGGTGACCATGGTGTGCGTTTGTGTGTATTTTTGTGTATCTGTCTGCCTGTCCGTCTGTTCGGGTATTACAACTCGGCGCGCAAGCAGTGCTAAAATTTTTGTTAGGAGTGCCAAACATGCCGCGTTAGGGCCGCAGTGTCAAATTTTACGTATGTCTGGGCCCCGCATATGGGCATGTGAAAGTTTTGGCGGGAAAATTACTAACTTGGGACCCAGAGAAGCTGAAGAGCTGAAGTTATAACAGCATGTTTATCAGAACTTAAAAATTTTAAACTGAGCCCCTAGATATGCACGGTTTTCGTGTACGGGCCAGTGAAAGTTTTTAGCAGAAAAACTGCTAGCTCAATAAAACTGGACGTTAGGAATTTTAAATTCAACGCATGTGAACGCGTGGTACTTACGTAAGGATAAGTGAAACTTTCGACAAGAAAATTGCTTGGTTATTTTCTGAACAAGTGAGGTCATTTTTATGCGCAATTATTGTTTGATTATCGCTTTAGCGCTGCTACAGCCAGCAAAGACGCATATTGTCGAGAGGCTGTCTGTGTGTATGTGTTCAGAAGCGAGTGCATTTTGTCACCCGCTTTCATCTCAGCAACCGGGAAAACTGGAAGGCTGTAACTTTGGGCACATGTTCCTACCTCGCGTATCATCCTCCCGTCTCAAGATGTTTCTCCAAACGCTCCTAGACCCCGCGCATGGCCCCCCCCCCAAAAAAAAATATGTTGGCGGGAAACGATTTCGCGAACCGTGCAAAGTAGAAAGCTGAAACTTTGCAGGGATATTATCTATGCGCGTACGAGCTAAAGATTTTGAAGTCAGCTGTCGAGCATCCCTACCGCAGCCTCAAGCAGCTCCTTAACCCAAAAATACTTGAGAAATCCATCGCAACCCGGACTCGAGCCCCAATCGTATATGTAAATGAACATTAGTTAATTTGCATACATGGATTTTCTGACGAACGACCGCTCGAACAATACTTCCACTTTTTAGTGAACTGGAAATTTCCATTTTTTTCAAAAAAATTTGCATTTGTCATTTTTTCATAAAGCGAGCATTTACCGAAAAAACGACCAGACTTCATG